GGGGGGGGGGGGGGGGGGGGGGGGGGGGGGCAAGGGCTGGAAGGAATGGCTGCTGGTTCTCCTTCCAGGGCACTGATGGGAAACCATGCACTAAGCTAAGCATATGAACCATCCTTATGCTTGTGTACTGGTGGGCTCTCGATCTTTCAATACGGCAATCACAGCCCCTCATCAACATACATATCCTCGAAGAGAAGCGAAACGCTCGTGGACTGGAGGAATCTTATTAGGGAAGTTCTCGTCCGCACCTTCCAAGGCGCACCTCAAATGGGCGGACGAGGTGAAATCGTTGAGATCGACGAAAGCTGTTTTCGGTGAGCATTGTGTATTGATGGCTCTCATATTTATCATGTCTTACTTTATATCATGTGCACCAGTGGGAGGCAAAAAAACAATAGGAGCCGGGGCCGGGATTGCTCTTCATAGTCAGCCTGTCGTCTCATTTTGGACTTTTATTTAGTGTATTTCACTTCATCATTAATCGTTACTAACAAAGTGCTTCTTTTTCTTATATATTCAATATATACATAAGAAGTGGCCTCCCGTTTCCTGTAAGCGACAACTTTCTCTTTCTCTTGAGAGGACAACATCACATTGGCAACATCAACAGTAAATAACGGAAGAAAGACGCGTGATCCGGCAACCCTGCCGCCGTTCCCACCCGATAAGGCACGGGAGGACATAATTGCAGGCCATAAACCTGTCCAGCGGGTTCTGAAAATTCGGAGATAATTTGGTGTGGAATGCGCTGGGTCGTATCTCTCGCAGAGATCTTTTTCTTAAATTCAATTTTAATTAATTTATTGATTTCCAAGAGGAAAAAATTATTTTTCGGAGTGCGGCGATAAGAATCTGCAGAAGAAAATTTTAATTGCACACTAAAGCGGAGGGGGGAAAAGGGGGGAATAAGGGGTGGGGGGAAGGAAAACCGTCCGGAACATAAAAATTATAAATATAATGATTTATTTAATAAACTCGAAGGGTCAGGACAGGCAATTGCTAGAAGGAAAACTTTTTATAAGGGTTTACCTTTCGCTGGAAAAAAAAAGGCCTCCTATCAAAAAAATTGTCATTTATTGCCAAAAAGAGGTAAAATGCAAAGGTGACATCGTAAAAATGCAGTTTCCAGGATGCGTGCCAAACGAGCGTGCACAGCAATGATTCCTTATGTGAAAATCGGTAATGTAATACTTCTTAAACTTACGCTACTCGCCGGAAACTAAGTCCCAAGTGATTCGGGGTTGTATTTAAACCTCGTGGTATTGAACGGTTTGTTCCTTACAATATAAAAATAAATAACGAAAAGAAAAATATAAGATTAAATAGAGGTGGAGAAGATTCGTGTCAGACCCGTGCTCATCCCCCGACTGTGGTCCGACACGGATTAAAAGCGGGACGACACGGATTAGCGGGACGGGCAGCACGCCTCCTTCGCCCCCTGGATTAAAGGGCAAATCCAGCGGAATCAGATATTTAAAGAAAGGTTAAATCCTAAACCCGGCGGAGTCGTCTGGCGCCTTGTCAAGAAAATCCTGAGTATTTTTTTTTCTCAGAAAAAGTGAATTATTATTTAAAGGATCTTAAATGTATTTGAAGAAGACATCCAGCGGAGTTTTGGTCGAGAGAAAAAATTACGTGGGGTCTCCAGTCGTTAGGAAACCGTGCACAACATGCATTTTTTTTTTATTTTTATGCTGATGAAGGACGTCCATGATGCCGGAACGATCTCACAAAGCGTACAGAATGCGGCCTTTTAGTTTACGTATGCCAACTCGCGAAAAGGCTTATAGTTGAGGTGGGAGAGGTCGTGGACCCTTAAAATGTATAATTTAGCACTTATCCATAAAGGGTCCATCGAAAAGGTGAGGGAAAATATTTCCAAAGTTCCTCGGCGAAGTTCGGCAGGCGATATCAAGCACCCGTGGCTTTTTTTTTTTCTGAAAGCTCTTTTGCTCTTTTGATGGGGAAAATCAGCTGGATGATTTGAAGCGATGCCTCGATGGATTTTGGTTGGGATTCGATCCTTGATTCCTAAATTGTTATACATTTTTAAATATTATTTATGCGGGTGAGATGGAACACGATAAGCAACTCACCGCCTCCGATTCCACCTTGAATTCGGGGTGAAATTCCCGAAGAGCATCTGCGATTTCGAAGAGGGCGAAACCGAGTCCGGGAACAGTTTTTGCTGGGTGGTCCAAGGCGAAAAAGTTTTACGGCAGGCCCAATTAGGGGCGATGAGCTGCCAGGCTTCTCTGCTTCGCACCCCGTCGCTAATCGCCGCTCATATTCCGGCTATTCGCTGCGAAAAACAGTCCGTGGGGCCTTCTGTCACACTCGTGGGAATGGCAGAACCGCGTTTTGGAGGAAATTTTGAGTTCAATGGAAATTTTAGGTCTGGGACTCACGCGAGACTCGTAGTCAGCATTGTTTGATGAATAGGCCTATGAGACATCGCCCGGAGTGGTTCGCGAACGGGAAAGCTTGATGGAGCAATTAATTTCCAATGGATTTGCAATATTTCACGGGGTATCGGAACATGGCAAGCGAAAACGAGTCTTGAAACGTGCCAAAGACTCTGGTCTAAAGATAGCACTATCGAGCGCGCCATCGGAAGTGCCGATTCAACGCGGGAGTTATCAAGGGATTTATCAGCGCGAGCGCCCGAGTTCCCACGGCGTCCTCACCAGGGAACAAGGTAACTTCCCCCCCCCCCCCCCGACAAGGTGACTTCCCCCCCTCCGGCTTTCCCAAGGAACAAGGTGACTTTCCCCGGCTTTCCACCTCATCGGACTGGCGGAAACGTTCGCTTTTGTTTCTCCCCTTTTGTCGACCCCCCATTCAGTGCCATTCATCTCAGTCAGCAGGCAGTCGAGATCAGATATATCTCTCCTTAGATTAGTTTCTTCTTGTCACTGAGACAAGGCTTTCTTGGCCGTTTTCACGCGCTTTTCCAAGCCTTTCAGTCCCCGCCGACTGGTCTTGTTTCTTCTTCGATAAGGTTATTTGCTGCAGGACATCCCCACTATTTCCAGTTTCCTGGGGCTCAAAGGAACTTCCACGTGTTTTCCAGCGAGGGAAATTTACGACCCCTTCCCCCTCCCAAAAGAAGTTTGCCCAGGGTTTTTGTATAATCCTTCCTTCCTTCCTGCACCTGAAGATATCTCGGTTTATGATCTTCTTCCCCGAAACGCGAAACGGAGACTCCTTGGAGGAACCCAGTTCAATTTTTTTTACTCAGTAGAGTAGAGGAATTTCCCACTCCAAAGCTAATTGTGCATTGCAGCAATCATGTAAGTTAACGATTTTTTAATTGACATCCCGCTTTTCCAGCTAAAAATAATTTGCTGTGGTCTTCTTATTTATTTAAGCCTGTTCTTTGACAACTTCCATGTTATTATTTTTCATTTCATGTTTTCCAAAGGCCTTGGTATGCACCCGAATCCCGAGATTTCATTCGTATCTCACCTCACTTCCACCTGACTTCTTGGAGAAAAATATAATTTATCCACTCCAAAGCAATTATCGACACGAAAGGCATCTTCACACGATGCGTTGGTATTTCATTGAGTAACAATGTCGGACCACTTAAGCTGAATTGGAGAAAGCTTGGCGTAAACCTTTGAGAAGGTGACAATTTTGTTGTTTTTTTTTTCAACTTACCAACGCAAAAATATTTCCGGACGTTAAACCCATTTCGAATACGATGGCGAATATAATCAGATGGGCTCATTCGACAAGATTTCGGGTGTTGGAGTTGAAGATTTCTTGCCCTGGAAGGGGGCCCCACTTCTTCGAACGATTCTGAATCGAATGTGATTCGGAATTCCAAGGGAATCAGGGGAGAAGCCGCTCTGCGGAGATGGATGGGGGTGAATCTCGTGGGATCAAGTAAATAATCTGGAAGTATTTCTCGATCCCTTCCCTGATCAATAAGAATTCATTAAGGAAGCATTCCATGTCATACTTCTATTTTCGAAAGGGGTGAGATACCTTGGCGATGCCGACTCGGAGGGGTGGAGGTGGGGGTAGGGGATGGGGGGGGGGGGGGGGGGGGGGGGGGGGGGGGGGGGGCGGGGGGNGGGGGGGGGGGGGGGGGGGGAGGGGAAGCGACTGGCGAGACCGTCCGGAGACAGGCCCCTCCCCCCGCAACAATGCAGAGCCTAAAAAGGGCGTTGCAGTGTGCGGGAGCCGGTCAGTCTGCGAGTAGTGCTCATCCCGCGAGGTCTTACTGTCTTTCGATGGCTCCCGAGGCGATCGTGTCCAGCGCTGGGTCTATGTCGACCTGGTACTGTCTGCATGCGACGGAGAAGGTGGACGTTGGGGGTCGGCTTTATCCGGTCAACGTTTACGTGCCGGTTCTGCCTTCGCTCTGTGTCGACTGGGATTCCATCTACAAGGATCTTTTCCATTCCGAGAAGCCCATGTGAGTTCAAGTCAACTTTTCTCATTCTTGTTTTCATTTTTTTCTTGTTCATATTTTTTTATTGTCAATATTTTCTTGTCATTTGTTCAATTTGACTTGCTTTAACTCTCCATACCATTTTTCTCAGTATTTTAATATCGTTCCTTTTTCCAAACTAGAGGCAAGGATCGTGCGGCTCTATCCCGGATGTCGTGGGAAGAAACGTTCACGAAAGTATTCCAGATGTTCTCGACCTTGCTTCCTCAGGCCCATTGGATCCTCCTGGAAGACGACCACGAGTCTCATCCGCTCTGCTCTCTGCCCCCACACATCGAATTCGCCAAAGTCATGTACGAATGCCATGTAAGTACGATCACACCAACCATAGTGGTGAAATCACCAAGATAGTGATATTTATTGTTAGATGTGATAACGTTTAATATTATTTTTAGGGATGCGGACGGGGCTGGACGTCGCAGAAGGGCGTGGTGAAGCTGTGGATCGGCTGGAGCCACGTGGAGGCCCGCGGCGTGGTTGTGATGAAGCAGCTGGGACAACGGTGCATATCCTGCCCCAGCCCCTTTGCGCACAAAGGGTTCTGGTACACCGATCAGATTCTCAGGGTAGGTAGAGGTTTTGGCGAAATCAATTCATTTGAGGCAATTCACGCATATTAAGTTACCATTGCATACAAAAGGGCTAGGTTATATATATATATATATATATATATATTCTTGGTTCATTCCTTATTTCTTCCCCCGCCTTCCGAGCTTGACCCGTGTTTCGTTTCTGGGGTGCAGGTGCTGGGGAACGTGTTCATCCGAGCGGCCGCGGAGTACCTGGGCGTGATTGTGAACGAGATGCCAGGCGGGAGGACGCTCACACCGGGGACGAGGAAGAGGCACGTGAGCGAGGGGTGCATCGCGTGCGCCGAGGGGGTGTGCACGGCCTACAAGGGTTGAGAGGGCGTGCGGGGAGTTCTTCTGGTCATTTTTAAAAGAGGGTTGGATAGTGAATGCCTTTCAGGTTGGGTGTGTATATAGTTTGTGGTTAAAGAAAGTTCTTTATTGAGAAATACATGTCAGAGTCTTATGAGATGGAGGCGTTTCATTTGTGTTAGAGCAAGGCTGAGAGCAGTCGTGGACTTGAGTTGATATTTTGGGATTGCTGCGCCAGATGTCTCTGGTGGACTAAGATGAAACGACTGCGATTCGGGTTCATTAAGTTGGTCATATGCGGACCGTTGAGGGGCTGGAGTTTCCGATGTTTCGAGACGAGGTTCCGTATTCAAGAACCTATTACACATTCAAGCCTATTACTTAATAGCCATCATGATCAATGTTGGAGTAAAACTGCCCGAATTGTATCGGAGTATGTCGAAAAATTTACTGGAGTGTGAGATGGAGGTGGAGGATGAAGAGATTTACCAGGTTAGGTCTTCACACCTGCCGTGGAATGAGTTCGCGAGGAACATCCAGGGAGTAAGCGTCCAAGTCTAGATGGATGATGGACCTATTAACCTTGGGACTCCTAAGCCTTGAGGAAAGTCCGGGGATCTGTTCATGTCAAAGTGTACGGCGGTGTGTTGATTGTTTTCTTCTGCGCTAACCAAAGAATTACATGATTTGTACTATGCTGAAAGAAAACTGAAAGAAAACATTGCGCAAGAGACAACCGCGTGGTAGCATGGAGGAGTATGGTCGAGTTGGGAGAGGTGAGAGCTGAAATGAGGATAGCAGTAGGTAGCATAGAGTAGCATGGTGCAGACACGGTAGAAGAAGGTACAAAAGATGGTAGCAATGCGTAGCATGGGTCGTATGGTATATACAAGAGAGGAGCTAGATATAATATATTTCGACGACCTACTTATAAACACACACAGAACATTCTAGCATGCTCTGGAAAAAAATTGTACTGGATATTGAAGAAATTCCGAGAACTTTCTTTCCAATCAGATACCAGGTTAGGTCTTCACACCTGCCGTGGAATGAGTTCGCGAGGAACATCCAGGGAGTAAGCGTCCAAATCTAGATGGATGGATGGGCCTATTAACCTTGGGAGTCCCAAACCTTGAGGAAAGTCCGGGGATCTGTTCCTGTCAAAGTGTACGGCGGTGTGTTGATTTCTTCTGCGCTAACCAAAGAATTACATGATTTGTACTAAGCTATTTTTGGATTCCTCGCATGCAATGGGGCGGTGGGGGAAGCTTCGTTGCATCTTAGTACCTCTACGGTTAAGACTAATCGGTGCTTGGGTGCTCGAAGGCAACTCGTTTATCCCGATGATTTGTAAAAAAATTATAATTGGGGCTTGTTTCCGATAACTTATTGGAATTTCAATACAATGTCAGTGATTGATGCCCCCACACCGATCGAACTGCTCAAAAATTTGTATGAATGAATTGGCTTCGAAATGAATTAGAACGCAACTTATTTCGGTTTCGCTGTAGCACCTGCGCTAGTGACATTTAGTTGCCACCGCCTGAGGTGCACCTTGACGACGTAAACTGCACGTGGCGTGCAGTTTACATGGCGTGCTCGAAGGAGCCTGGACAAGGTCTATTGGAGCTGATAATTAACCGAGATTTGGACTTCGTTTCAGTCAGTTCGAATAAGGATTCGATTATGCCTCGCAGGTTTTCAAGTATTTTGTGTTCCTTGTCATTCAGGTCTGGATTTTTCTCGGACTTTCGGCGTTGGAAGGGGCCGCCAGAGCCGGCTTGGATGGGAGGCTCTGGGGGAGCGTCTGGTCATCACTGTGCTGCAAGCACAGTGGCGTAACGAGAGGGTGAGCTTCAGCCAACCCCTTACTCTCGGAAAGATGTTTGGGCGATTTAAGCCCGCTCCCAGTTCTCCTTCTCCCACCTCCTCACCCTCCGCCGAATTTTTTGCTATCCTTGGCGAATGGACCTGCGAGTTTCGGATAATGACACGATGAAGGCGATCGGGAATCTTCTTACACTTGGATCTTCGTACACTCGAGTTTTACAGTACAGAGAAGATGAGAGACTATGAATTCCTCTTCAAGCTGTGGTGTATATTTTGTCTGAGCGAAGGGGGCCAATGTAAAAGGAAAGGGGGAGAAAGGTTCTCAGGAATGAAAAAAATGATATCCATTATCGGCAGAAATCGTGACGTGACTGGACTCTGGAGAGAGCCCTTGGGAATCGGGCACATTTCTGCATCATTGGGAGACTTTGTCCAATAGTCATGCTCTCTAGTTTATGACATAACGAGCGCGAGATTTATCTGAAACCTAAGTCGGATTAAGATTGCGAAGAGGCGTACTTTCACAGTTCCCAGACTGGTCCACCCTCGCCTGTTGTAAAACCAGTAAAAGTCGAACGTGCCCGGCCACCGCCTTCCTGTGTGCATGTAGCGCTGAGAGGCAGAGTGCCTACACATGCAAAGTCGGCTGCTGCTGGAGGATTTCGCTGTAATGCTTTTGCACTTCCCCAGCCTGTGGTAGTTCAGATCACTTGCACCCAATATTCATCGTCGTTCATCACATATTGAATTAAAAAAATGTCGAGGTCATATCAGAGGCCAGAAAACGCTCTGAGAAGAGCAAACGGTGAGGAAAATTCATTACCTCTACATTCTTAGTATTAATGCTACTCGTAGGCCTAACGTTAGACTTATTCCCATTTTGACGTCGCAGTGAAGCAATCCTATTCAAGCATCATGGTTGGTGGTTGCTAGGAATAAGGCAGCTTTAAATTGAGAAAAGCCTAACGTTAACGTTACGCATTTTTGGTATAGGACAAAGACTACCGCTAACGTTAGAAACAGTTGCCTTGGCGATTTTCGACTTCGCGGTGGTATTGCTTTCTCACAAAATTTAACATTTAATTTACGTGACGCTTGTGCTGAGGGCCTAATTACAAATTTGTGCCTGCTGATTAAGGGCTCATTTGAAAAAGCTATCTTTCTTCCTGTGTGGCTTCTTCATGCCTTCCCTACCCATTTACTAGGCTGTCTGCATTCCTACAATCCTCCAAACGCTGAAAAAAATATCCAAAGTCTGTACTGTTAGTCTCCACAATAATTACCAGTGTAAGCATAATATGAGGAATGTTTGTAGTATCAGGTTCATTTTGTTTTCATGACAGAGTTCTGCTTGAGGTTCATTTGAGACAAAAAAGGAGATGTACATGGCATTTAGTGCCATAGAAGTACAAAGAGATAGTAAAGTTAGGGAAGATTTGGCAGGAATTCCTTGCTCTTGTACCATGCGGCACATTCTTCTGTGTTAAGTGTGGTTCTTGCAAAGGTATTAAAATGCATTGATGCATCAGTCCAAGCCATCAAGTACCAACATCATAATCATTGGGGAATGATGAGTACTAATGACATAGAAAGGATGTTACTGCCTCAGGTCACTGTCAACCTAGGTGTAGAACCTGCCTGTCATGAGTATTCTGTTGCACAACTTCATCTAGGAAAGAGGTGGAGAGCATTGTGACAGCAAGGGAGAAAGAAGAGCCTCTATATGGGTTGTATCATAGAATTAAGGTCTTTAGGAGGAGGAATCTACCTACAAGGTTCCTGGAAATGATAACTCTTCTCTGTGGAGAAGGCTGATTTAAAAATGAAAGTTTTCATGTTATCTAAGAAGGCATTTCATTATATATCTTTCTAAGGCGTTTCAAATTCTGTATTTCTTCCTTCATATTATCATACAGCTATTAAACACTTTTAATTAGAACTTAAAGATCTTGAGTCTGGAAAATCTACATTAGTAGGCTCAGGCATATGCTTGTCTCATCAGTAGGCCTTGCCCTTTTTTTTTTTTTTAGCCAAGTCAAAATTTAGGGCTATCCTTGGTTAGCATGTCAGTCCATACTAGGAAAACTATCTGTAATAATGTTACAATGCTAATCTGTAGTGGTAGAATATATTTCCCAAACTTTTGTGATGGTTTGCTGTGACAGGTTAGTCTTTATTTTAGTTTTGGTGCATATATGTTTCAGAGTTCATCGATGTGGGAAAACCATCCAGAGCCCTTGACACACTCTATGAGTTCATCAAGGGGAAACGCTTGCGATCAAGCAATTACAGTGAGAAGGTGAGAATCTTGTTAGACATAACTCATTTATTTGGTTGTGTGTCTGTTTGAAAAATGACCATTTTTAAATTTAGGGGTGAAGTGCACCAGATTGGTGGCAATGAACTATTTCATTTCATAATGTCCCCTATGGGAATGGGTTTGATGGACATAATCCCATTCCCATGGATGCCCATTTGAAACCATCACTTTCATCATCCCAGTTGAAGTGGTATCCGGACAAAATGGCCCCGGACATTTTGGCCCCAAATAATATCTTCCTAAGAGAAAATGGCCCCGGACATTTTGACCCCAAATGAGATATAGGACAAAATGGTCCCTCCAGTAAAAATGTACGATCACAGCTCATCAAGAGTTAATGACAATTTTAATAATTCGTCACCTACTTATGACTACGTTCTAAAATTAAGTTCTCTATTATCTTGAAGCTTGAATGCATTGGGGGCTATGATTCAAGATGTTTATTTTCATCGTATCTTAATATGCTATAGCAGTACTAAAGGTTCACTACCTTCTCGTTCGCCTTCCCCTATCCTGCCCATCCTCCCCATCCTCCCCTCCCTATTCCAAGAAATATATATTCTCTCACTTGCCACTTTTCTTGTTCTCTACATTCCTTGATTTAATACCCACTTCCTCCCTCCCACGGAACCCATCGGTAGATGAGAACATGATGGGCAGCTTAGGGTGTAAGAACTTGAGTACATTCACTATTGCGTTTCTCCTCCACTCATTGTCTACGACAACAAATATGGGCAGCTCAGATGACTTCCTGGATTGCTTACATAACTTCTTGAATTCTTCATTTACGGCATGCGAAGCCCTCACGACCTCACAAATCAACTCATCTCTGCATCTGCGGTGGAGGGCCTGACACGAGGGAATCACAAACAAGCGTGGAGGCTTTCTGTCTGACTCTGTCAGAACATTTAACTTCAAGGAAGGCTCAGTCGACACGAAGGCACGCCTGGATAAATTTTGTATTGCAATGAACAGTCTCGAAACATTTCTGGTGTTCCTCTTCACACCTTTGAGGACAGTAATGTTCAATCCAGCTGGTTTAACCTCGTCAATGGAGAAATCCCTCGTATAGGACTGGTCATTAGGCCTGAAGCTGATACAGATTGACCTGGCTTCCACGTCTTTGATCCATTGCCAATGGTGAGAGAGGGCTTCAGGGGTAATAATGCTTCCGAATCCTAGTGTGATAGGGACTTCATCGATGAGGATGTGCTTTCCTTTGCCGTGTTTTTCAAGGAAATTCTTCAGTCTTCTGAGGTCCTCCTCCAGGCCCTCCTCTCTCCCATCTACTACCTCGATACTACAGGGTGGACAGAGAAACATAGGAAATTTTAAATGTTATGAAAAATGCATGTTTTTCTATCGATTGACTTGAGGATTCCATCAAAAGTTGCTGAATAAATTTTTCAAGAGCTTGTAAATGTTCATGGGTCAAAGTCTATTTATGCCTGAGTTACAGCAATTTCGCCAAAAGAGTTGCCATAATTCCGACTGCTGTTCCTAGGGCCAAATCCACATGTGCATGGGGATGCTGAATAAATTTTGCACGTGTATGACATTTTCAGATGGAGTGGCAAAAAAAACACGTATTTGCCAATATCCTATTAAAGTTTCACGAAGATCTATCCAGAGAATTTTTTTTCGGAAGCAATATGTGGATTCATGCCTAGCAATAGCATTATCATCCCTATTTTACTGTGAATTTGGACTATATTTACCAAATCTGTAATCACGCATCAGTGAATTGTCAAAGGTGAATGGATATTCACAAACTCTTGCATATATCAGAAAACGTGCTATAAAATTGTATAGTCAATCCATTCGCAAACTTGGATTTTTATTAGTTGAAAGGATTACTTTTCTTGGGTTAATGCTGCATTTGTTTCTCTTCGGCCTGGCTCATTCCGTCCAAATGACTCCATCTTGTCTTGATGCTTTCGTCTTGACTCTACGCCGGGTTGGTCCATTCTCTTCTTCTTACCTATAGTAGGCAAAATGAACTCAAAATTAAATTAACAACAATTATACTAAATAAACAAAATTAAATAAGAAACAAATTTTTAACTGCCTTTTCCTTTAGAACTAGAGTAAATATTCTACATTTTTTCATAACTCCATCTGGAAAATGGATTTTCATGAACTAGGTTGTGGCTATATTGAAATTGAAAGTATATATCCAAGGACGTAAAAGAAATGCCATATTTTTTGACTGGATTGGAAAAGAACCAACAATTGCTTCAGCAAAAATGCTATGAACATCTCCCATGCAAAATTTTCAGAGAAGGAACCTCAGCAAAGCACATTCCATTTCACCGTACTTCATATGCAATGAAATCTTAATGGAGTCGAACATAATCATCGATGTGTGAGGATGCAACAGACCTTTCCCGCATTTCTTGGCTTGGGTTTTAAGGGAATCATCCTTCGCTTCCGATGCATCGGGAGCGTGAAAACCGATTTCTCTAGTTTCTTCCTGACCTGCTCCTGGAGGCCTCCCCTTACCTACATTTGGTAAAATGAACTCCAAACTGAAAAAAACATTTTCAACATGGATTCTATTCAGGAATTTTAGCGGACCAAGATGAATGTTCCGCATTTTCCCGTAACTTCATCCGGAAAGGGCATTTTCATGAACTAAATTGTGGCTATATTGAAATTGAAAATATACATCCAANCTATATCCTCCCTTCGTTCTGACTCGATGGTTGATTTCAGCTTTGTCGTATTCCAGTTGAGGTTGAACTGCAGTCTTCCATTGTTTCCGTTGCGTGTAACTTTCAGCCGAGCTAGACGATGACTGGACTGAGATGTATGATCAGCAGTGCGGATGATCGGACCTTCACCGTCGGGTATATCCATGCGTCTGACATGGAAGCCATCGAGATCACCAAGTGTCGCAATGCTATGAAGGAGAGCGCAGGATATTTTCATGCAACCGAGACTGCTACCAAGCATTGTGTTCGGGAATCATTTCACTTGAAGGATATGGCAAAAGATCCACGATCCATGATGACTGGTCGAGGTTTATCGAAATGATACTTTCCATCATTTTATAGGGATTCTGGATGACCTCGCATTCCTGCCACTTTCTACGGTGATAGGAAGTATGCAGTTCTTCTAGAGGCCCTACTATATTTTGGTGTGCAACTCATGGAGGCAAAGTTTATTGCTGCAGCAGAAGCAAGCTGCAACACAGAGCTACATATTGTGGAATCTAATGACCTGTCCAGTTCCACGAAGGAAAGATTCCAAAGTAATTGTTCTGTTCGCATATTTGGAGCATTGGGTCTGCAACTGCTTTTCCGTCGTGTGATACGCCCTCCGAACTCTCTTCTTTGGAGGAAGTCCCACAGAAGTCTGCAGTATAGCTGTTGATATTGATCCTTGTTCAGATTGCAGGACATCAATTGCCTTCCAAATGCTGGGATGCTGATGTCCAACCATACGAGAGAACTTGTGGTTCCATCCCTCTGCTTGGTTGTTTGTCCAGTCGCTGCCAGTAAATGTTGCCTCGTGGAGATTCCAGACACTCGAGGGAAACCTTGGAGCACATCGCTGCAATCGCAGGTTTCCTTGAGACGTGTTCACTCTACGATAAGGGCCGCTGACGTAGGTACCATCGAACTAGGATACCAGTGCCTCGGCTGCAGGTGGCATAATCTCTAGGAGAAACTGCATTCCCCCGGCAACAGCAGACTCAGGCAGGAACACTATGGCATCCAACATCCCAACAAAGTGGTGGAAAGACTCATCATTCCGATAAACTTCCACTAGTCCCTAATCCTGGATCTTCCTCCAAGTGCTTTGTGCTAGGTGATAAAAGCAGCCTTGAGTCTTGACACTTTCCCCAAAAACTTCCTGAACGGCTTGCATGGCTGCAATCTCAAAATCCATTATTATTGTTTCTGGGTCTGGAGATGAGCTCTCAGTTTTGCACTCGGAAATTATAGCATGAAACAATTTGGCATATGTCTCCTGAGACTTCCCTTGAAGGAAGGCATAGACAGCCGCTACTGCAGTCTCTCCAAGGGGAACATGAATCACATAGAGCTGCAGGAAGTTTTCCACGGCCATCGCGAAGTTCCCATCCATATACCAAGTGGATGCCTCAGTCAGCAGCTGCAGACACTGTTTCGTGCTAAAGCAATAATTCTGGACTTTGAAAATGGCCCATTATCAAAAAACAGAAAAGTTTCTGGATGAACACCACCTGTGGTTGCCCAGATGCCATCGATGGCCAGGTCTTCCAAAGCTTGCGGATCTGGAGGGTAGTGCAGCCTCCGATTATGCCTGATTGATCTCTTGATGGTGGCCTCCGTAGGAATGACCACCTTAGCCCCATCAGGAAGCTGACGAACGGCCACCTCCGATTACACCTGATTGATCTCTTGATGGTGGCCTCCGTAGGAATGACCGCCTTAGCCCCATCAGGAAGCTGACGAACGGCCTCAGCAAATATAATGTTGGGCTTGTCATGAGATTTCGCTGCTCTCTCCATCATGGCGTTGCGGCATTTTGCAATCTCGATAGCTTCCATGTCAGGTGCATGATTATGCTTTGCAGTCATCGTTGGATCTTCACTTGCTTCACTTGTGATGATGCTGCCCTTGCAGCCCAGCAACCTCTGCACACATCGCCACCGAATCTTTTTAGCCATATCCTTCTGCTTCGTATACTGAAGCCCTCGAAAGCCACCTTCATTCCTCCTTGAGTGGTTTTGATGATCTCCATCTCTGGTATTAGGAACATATGAGTACAATTTTCGGAAGATTGAAAAAATACGAATAAAAAACACCATATTCCG